GGCCTGGGTCCTGCTGGGTGAACTCTGGGCGACGCGCGCTCTGGCGATCGGTGAACCCGGGCTGTTTGGCCTTCACCGGCGCCTGCCTGTAGCGGGGGTGTGGCGCCAGCGCCAGGAAGCACCGCCTCGAGAGCCCTTGTTCCCAGCCAGGTCTCGCGGGACAAGGGCTGGCACAGCCTCCTGCAACGGGGGACGCATCAGCCCCACACCGGACCCTCCGGCCAAGAGCAAGAATGCTTAGGGTCACAGAATGATCTGTCGAGGTAAAAGTGCGATGCAAACCTAGACCTGGTGACGCCTACCCAGCCAAACCTAAGGATTAGGACTTTCTCCATTAAACCGTGGATGGACAAGAGAGTTTGTTTCCTTTGGCGGGGGCAGGGGTGGGGGTCCGAGCTTTACAGGCTCACATGAACCCCACCAATGAGAAACTGATGGATGAACCAGGTGCCAAATTATAAATTTCCCACTGCACAGCCTGAGTATGAAAGTGTCTTCCTGGAATCCTTGCTCCCCAGACAAGTTCCTGTCTTGTGTTCTGGACACCTTTTATTGTCAGGACACCCGAGACCTTAAGTATCTTGGGTCCATTTGGTAATTTTCACTTCCATGTGAGAATTTTTTAAATTGAAATATAGTTGCTGTACAATATTGTATGTTACAGGTGTACAATATAGTGATTCACAATTTCTAAATGTTATACTCCCTTTATAGTTATAAAATATTGGCTGTATTTCCCTTTGGCTGTTGCCCAGAGGCCTCAGTTCCTCACCACGTTGGCCTCTCCATAGGGCTCCTTGGATGTCTTTGGAGACTTGTCATTTAACTTACCCGGAGAGAAAGATCCGAGAGAGAGGAAGGAAGAAGTCATGATGTCTTTTCTGACTTAGCCTCAGAAGTCACACTCATTTCCACAATATCCTATTGTTACACACTGGTCCGCTCTATTCAGTGTGGGAGGGGACTGCATGAAAATACTGGGAAGTGGGGATCATTGGTGGCCATCTTGGAAGCTGGCTACCACAGTGAATAAAAAATGAAGCTATCTAAGCATTAGAAGAAAACAGGTAAATTCCTCTATATTCTTTGACTCAAAATCTAGACGCAATAAGGGAAACGATTGTTCAGTTTGACACATTCTTCATATTTATAACTTTATTATGACAAAAGATACCATAAGAAAGTCTAAGATATGATACATGGGAAAAAGTCTCTGTAATGCCTGTCACAAAGGATTGAGTAGAAAAAAATTGAGAAAAAACCCCTGCAATTGTGTAGAAAATGGGCAAGAGATATGAAAACAGTTCACTGTGATTTAAGGTCACATGTGTGGCAAGTGCTGGAATCTGCCTCCAAACCTATCAGCATGTCCTCTGAGTGCCCTGCCCAGTCCTATTCTGCCAGGGACACAGTGCCAGCTACCTAGGCCTTACCAGGTGCCACTTGATCACATGGGATGAGTCACTTTGTTTATGACAACGGTTGCGTCATAGGTAAGGAGACTTGACTCTTTGTTCTTATGTTCAGTGGGTCCTCCCTAGCTGTCCTTACAATAAGAAATACCCTTATTTCACTTATCAGAACATGCATAATCCTTAAAGAAAAAAAAAACTTTTCGAACATGTCATGGCGCTTCTTACCCATAGCTCCAAGAAGGCTTTGCTTTCAATCTCTAATTCAGTGAATCCAGATTCATTTCTGGTACTTAATTTATCGGGTTTTTCAGTTGAAAAGGAAAGGAAGAGAATGCAGGGCTAGCCATAGGGAGAGATGACTTCAGCTTGGAGAATCAACAGTAGGAGGAGAGTTTGTTCAACCTGCTTAGAAATTAAGCCATGCCACTGCAGTTAAACAAAATTCACCTATAAAGGACCAGTAACATCCAGTGTCCCAGGAATCACCATATAAAAATGATTTCTCAAAATGTTTCTTAGAAGCGTTTTAAAAAGGTTCCCAACATTGTTTTCTCAAAAAAAAAAAAAACCTGTTTATTCCATTTATGTGCCATTTTAAAGAAGGCAAAAGTATAGGGAAAGAAATCAGATCAGTGGTTGCAGGATTCTGGGTGAGAGGAAAGGACTGTCTTCCAGGGACATGGGGGAACTTCGGAGTGGTGATGAAAACATTCTTTATCTTGATTGCAGTGATGGTTACATGATTGTATACATTTGTCAAAACTCAGAACCGCACACCTAAGAAGGCTGAGTATTACTGTATTTAAATTTTACCTTAATAAATTTGACTTAAAAAAATGTACAGATTCCAGTTTCTAGACCAACCTGAATTTCCCTCTGTAACCTTGACCCTTTTATTACACACTTTCTCTCATTTGATATTTGTACCTAGTTTTAATCTTCAGATTGAATTTTAGCAGACTCAACCTAAGTTGCAGAAAGTTAATGTTTCATATGTATTGCTTCTTTCGCCCAAGCACCCAATTTTAGGACTTCTCAAGTCTTATTATAATCGCAGCAGTGGCAGCCAACATTTATTGAGCCCTGTGCCTGAAAAAAGTCTTAGCTCAATATCCCTATGAAGTCTACTTGATTATTACTTCCATTATAAGGATAAGGAAATTGAGGTCAGGCAGATTAAGGAACTTATTTAATGAGATCAGATCTGAAGTCAAGTTATACTGTACTCTATAGTCAGTACTCTTAACCTTGATACTATTCTGTCTTTGAAATGCTTTGAAGCATTTCAAAACATGCTTCTCATTACCTGGGGTTAAGATTCCAAAAGTGTTTTGCTTTGCCTTTGGCGTGAAGGTTCCGAAATTGCTTCTTATAATTGAGACCCTAACTGTTAAACTTTACACTTGAATAACAACAGCATTTTCTAGATGGTAAGAGCATTCAAACTTTTATTGTAAAAACAATATAATATGAAATAAGAATATATTGAAAAATACCATTCATAATCCCACCACCTTAAACACATTCACGTCTGTGTATTTCCTCATAGCTCTTTTCTATATGCCTAACATACCTGCAGACAAAAGACATTCACATTTACTTTTGGATAACAGCATATTAAAAGGGCTCTTAAAAATCATTTTGCCAACAGGAGTTCTCATTTGGCTTATTTACCTTTGTCATATAAGCCTTAAGATTATAAAATTCTAAACTGAAACACCAAAGAAGGATGCCCAAGATCTCACAGTACTACAGTGAAAACCCAGAATCCTCTGTGGAATGAGATGAAAAGTAAATCAAAGAGAGGAATGCTTTTCCAGAAATCCATCTTGTCCTGAAGGACACAGGGCCGCAGCATGTGGTCAGTCCCTGCACCTTTGGTCAGTTCCTAACAGCCAAGGAAGCAGTACTTGAACATGACTTTGGTCTATGTTGACCACAATGATGGTTCATGTGGAGACTTACTTTCTTCCCAGATTCCATCTTGCATTAAAAGATGACTATAATTGTATTGTAGAAAAGCACTTGGAGATTTATAATCCTGGAGTATTTCTGAACATCTCTAAATAATTAAATCTGTGAAGGGTACATATGTTACCAGGACATTTATTTCAATTCAAATGTGCATGAAGAAGGTTCAGAATATTTAAAAAAAAACATAATAGTTGATAGCTGAATCATTTGATACTGCCTTTTCCAACTAAGTTATAAATGCTGCATGTTATCTTTGATTTGTTATTTATTAATAACCATTTCGGTTAGAAGCATCATTCAAACAGCAGATGTGAAGCCCTTAATTCCAACTAAGAACTGATGCCACATACACAACAACCCATGCTGTGGTAGTTTCCCAACATCAGGCAGCCAATGAAGTTATAGTTTTGAGGGTACCAGGCTACATACAGAATAGGATTCTCCCAACCTCCATGACAAATGACACGATTTCACATTTGTAATTTACCAGAGTCAGTTTAGATTGCTTGGGTAAAACAAATTGTTTAATACACACTAGGCTTTCTTGGACTCAGACTTAAGAGTCTGAATTTAAATTACTATAAATAAGTAGCATTTGCACAAATTTGCTTTTAACCCCAGCCACTAATTCTGAGATGGACCAAAATCACAGTAAGCTTAGTTCATCCTGGTTTTTAAAATTCATATGGAATTTTACCAACAGATTAATTTTAGACAACAACCTCCAAACTGTCAGATTTGATTTCAGTTTGTACCAAAACCAACAGTAACAGCCCCTCCCCGCCCAATCCAAACAAAATAACCCTTTCTTGTTTAATTGCATTCTGTTAAAAGCTCTGGAAGGGAACTTTTGAGTTAGTCAGTCAGGAAACCCCCTCCCCCATTTCACAAATGAGGCAGGTGAAGCACAGGGAGGTCAGTGACTCGTCTCAGGTACTTGGAGAGAAAGGCAGAGCCTCTGCCATCACAGCTGGTCCTGGCTTGCAGGAGAACGCACTCCCCAAAGGAACACAGAGGTTTGAGTCCTCCACTGCTTTTATTTCTCAGGCTGACATACAGCGCTCACACTATGGGGCTGGCACACCCTTAACAACCATTCATTACAGAACAGAGAACTGCACTCTGAAAATCAACTGTGTAGCTAAAACTGCATCAACCTGCACACTGAAAAGGAAAATGTAGCACTATCAGGTTCCTAATGCAAACCAGAACTCCCTTCAACCAAAATTGCTTCTTAGTCATGCAACATTACACGTCTTTACAGCGCTTACTATAACAGGTCAAACAGGAAGTTTCTTCTCTAACCTGACTTACCAAAAATGTTTTCCCTTGTGGCATTTAAAAGCATACATTCTTAGAGCACATAAAAAAGAATTTGCCAGGCATTTCTTTCTTCTACAAACATTAAGTTTTTTGTTTTTCTTTTCTCTTTTTTCCCTAATGACAATAGTTGAAAGTTCCCATGATAAATGCCTTGACCTTCCAAGTTTTCATCTTCTCAGACTCAGATAAAGCTGTGCTATTTTCCCAGAAGAGAAGCCAAGGTTTTCTCTTTACAGGTATTTACAAGAGATTTATAATAGCACTTAACTTTTGAGGTAAAGATCTAGCCTTTAGCTTGTAGAAAATTCTAACAATGACCACATCATATATACCCTATATTAAACATTTGGAACTTTTTAAAATCACTTTTATCATGGTATAAGATCATATCAGATAGTTTTACAAAATTAATGACTTTGATATCAAACATCTAAATTGAATGAGGTTTCTACCAGAAAACAATCTGTGGAATTATTTATAGAAGTGAGAACAGAGAGATATTGTTAGAGATTACTCTATGGTTACTCAAGCCAAAAGTGATTTTGCTCACATAATATAGCAAAAGTTCTAGTAGGCAATGTTACACCTCCACATAATGCCAAATATTACTAATGCCTAAAATTTTCCAAGAGTTGTTTAGGTTAGCAGGTCCACAGGATAAATATGTGTATTGTAATTAAGCCTTGTGTGTATGTGTGTGCAACATTTTATCATGAATTCCATGAGCAGAGGACTCCCAGAATCAGGTACACATGTGATCGCACATATAAGTAAATATCCAAGGCTCTGCCGAGTGATTGGAAAAAGTGAAAACAAAGACATTTGTTTGTCCCAACTGCTCCCTATGGATTACACAACTTCTGGTGGGTTGTTTTTCTAATAGGTTCTGATGGACAATTTTTTTTTTCACGAACAAAAACACCTTGATAAGAACAGTGAGTCACGGTCTTAGAAACGTAAGGAAAATATTTAGGGCTTGGTTTTTAGGGATATTTTCCAACACTGGGTCACAATATGCCCCAGCCTTCTCTTGACTGAGAGAGATGAGACTTTGGGGAAGGTGACAGCAATTCCATGTTGTGTTGTGTGTAGGATGAGGGAGCTGGGAGTTAGAAACCTTTCTACGTCATTTCTGAAGGTACCTTGGGAAGGCAGGTGCAAAAAGAAGTTTGACATGGCCCAATTTAGAGTCACCCAGACTGGCTGAGGCAGGAGTTCCTTTTATTAGATATTGTTGTAGAACTTGTAATCAGTTTAAGACTTTGTGGGTCTTTTAAAACCATTATTATAGACACAGATTCTGTGCTTTCATTATCCATAGGACTGGAATGTGTGTGCTGAGGTGGAGGAGGAGTGGGCAAATGAGGCTGGGGGGGGTGCCCCTTAGGACTGGGTGCCCAGACAGCACTATTGCTGCTAACTGCTTCTGCCCCATGGCCTCCAAACTGCCCTTGTGAAAAACTGCCAGTTCCCTTCTGGTCCCATTTCTCTCTTCTCAGGTAACAGAGGAGAAAAAGAAATTCTTTATCACTTTTCAGCAATCAATCTCTAGGTTTCATCCCAAGTTACGTTTAGAGTTAAATGCATCTGTTTTCTGAGCCCTTCTTCCCCAACAATGTGCTCTCTGGACCACAGGTAGGAGGTGATGGTGCTACTCAGGCAAATTCCTGCCTGGGACCTAAGGTGTTTACCACATTTCCTGATTTATTGCCCACAAGAGGCTGAGGTCACTTGACTTCTGTCATCTATGTCTGTGGTTCCAATAATTTATGCTATGATCTCCTGCCTTAAGAAGATCGATTTTTAAAAATGCAGATGTATGTTTAGTAACCTAAGTACATAAGTGAAGACACTATGTTTGACTCATTGGCACCAGTATGAATTCCTGGCCAAATGTCCTTTATTTAAAAAACCATCTTTTTATGGTAGCTCACAGAGAAAAAAATGTGACAATGAATATATACATGTTCATGTATAACTGAAAAATTGTGCCCTACACTGGAATTCGACAAGACATTGTAAAATGATTATAAATTTAAAAATGTTAAAAAAAACCCCATCTTTGATAGCACACAATGTGGTCATGTGATTTTTCTTTCAAATGATGATTATTTAAAAAAATGCTTCTTAAATTCAAAGTTAAAATTGCTACATTCCAACCCAGTCTCAGGGCTAATTGGCTCCAGTGATGCCACTTGACCCTCTCAGGGGGCAGTGTCAGGGTCAGGGAGCTGTGCAGATCCCTCCCAAGCCAGCTCTCCTACTGGCCAGCAAGCAAATTCTAAGGGATAGACAGGATTAAGGGCTCCAAAGAGGATTCCCCGGCCCTCCCCCAAAGGAGGATAAAAAACTCTGGTCTAGTTCTGGAACAAAAATAAGCCCCTGTCAAGGAGAAAGCGCCTGTTGAGATAGCCTGTGGCCCTTCCCAAAGCTTGCGCCCCTCCCTGGCTGACTGGGCGGAGCCCTTTTCAATAGGCAAATGTGCGCAGAAGTGTGTACTCGTGTGCTGTAAGAAAGCACTTTGCATGAACTTCTATTTGCACACTCTCCTAAGCTTAGGCCCCAAAGGATTAAGGTTATAAAAACTGCTTACCTCTTACTGCAATTTGTTTCTTGCCCACGAAACAAAACCAACACACACACACACACAAACACACACACACTCCACCCCGTCAAACACAGCCACCTTTTCACTTATTTTCCCTTCAACCTCTTTTCCAAACTGCCCCAAGCAGAGAATGGGAATCACTCTGCACGGGGTGGGGGCACCAAGCTCAGACTCAGTGTAAACACGCCCCAGCAGCACAGGCGGTAACCTATTAACTCGGAGGAATCTCGGGTCACTGTGGACGGTTTTCTATTAATAGGGGATAAAGCTTCTGCATACATTAGCGGTAATGCCCTGGTGGCCCGCGCAAAATTAACTCCTCCCGGGCCAGCAAGAGGAAGCCATCTTCTAACCAGACAGATGTGTGCTTGAAATGCGCGTATACACATACACATATACACACAGGGTTTTAGAACCGCTTCCCTTAAACATGCCAGATCCCACTACCATCCCAAGTCCAGGCGGTGGCGGTCGTTCCCGAAGGGGTGCCTCCAGGGAGGGAGCGGTGGCCGCGGGGGACCGTCGAGTGTGGGTCAGCTCAGCTTCGCCACGCACACGGCCAAGGCCACAGCCGCCAGCAACACGGCGCTGAAGATGGTGGCGGCCAGGGCCTTACTCAGGTCGCAAGGCCCCGTGCGCTGTTGTACGGACACACCGCCCACCGAAGAGACGCCGGCGCTAGCGCTGGACAGGAGCTCGGCACCCGCCGTCTGCCGGGCCTGCACCGTCCAGCGGGGCACGTTGACCTTCATCTCCATGTCCTGGATCATTTCGCCCACCTTAAGGATCTCCCGCTCCAGCTGGTGCAAGTCTTCCACGTCGAAGTCACGCTCCGCCTCGTGCCGCAGGCTCCGGGCGCTCAGGGCGCGCGCCGCTACGCCCGAAGCGCCGCCTTCCACGCCCGTGCGCACAAGTGGCCGCCTGGGCGCGTGCAGCGGGAACTCCGTGCCCAGGGCCAGCGCACGCCGCATGTCGGCTTCCAGCAGTTCCAGGCAGCCGGAAAAGGCCACCCAGAGGCGCTCGAACTCAGCGCGCTCCTCGGCGCCTAGGCCCCGGTCGCGCAGCGGGGGTGTCAGCCGGGCACGGATGGCCACCGCCAGCTCCTGCGCCTTCTGGCGCGTCTTCTGCAGCTCCTCTCGCAGGTTCTGCGAGTCCGCGGAGCCGCCGATGGTCAGCACCAGGTGGTGGTAGCATGCGGTCGCCTTGTTGAGCGCATCCAGGAGCGCCTTGCACTCCTCCTTTGCCATGTCGCCACTCTCCCGCGCAGCCCGGACGCCTGCACCCCTCTTAGCTTCACGCCCTCAGCGCAGCAGGAAGCAGCCTGCCCCGACGGCGTCCTCGGGCCGGGCGGCTCACGCACTCCTCATAGCCCGATACGAGCTTGACGCTACCGCTGCGGTAGACAGAGCCGCTCAGGATCCACGACGTGCGCTTCTGCGGACCGGGGGCGGAGAGGCAGCCCCATTAGCTGTCTCCCGTCCCCTCGTCCATCCTCCCCAGGTGCGCTCGTAGTCACAAGCTGAATCTCTGGGCGGCCCTCGCCTCCACTGTGGCCACCTGCGAATCCCGGGTTGTGGTCCCCATCCTCCTCCGGTGCCGTCGCCACGGCTAGCCGGCTGCGGAGCCGCGCGTTCCGCCTTAGCCGCTGCCGAAGGCGGCCGGGTAGGGTTTCTTAGGATCCGCCCACCTCCGCCCGTCCTCGCTGGGCGCTTCCATCCCCTGGACCAGGGATAGGCGGGGCCCCGCGCGGGGAGGTCACGTGTGGCTCCATCTCCCCCTCCTCCACATCCCATTACAGTCTGGAATATTAGCGCTCAGCAGATCCAACCCTCCTCTATTTTACGAACAGGGAAACTGAGGCTCAGATAAAAAAGGGGGCCTAGATCACGCGAAGTCCATGCAAGCGGAGGGGCCAGAACCCAGGGACTCTAACTCTTGGACCCTGCCAGCGACGGGAGTGGTATGCCTCGTAGGACTGGGCGCCTCCATCCTCCAAACCGAGCAGTAAAGGCTGATCCGTGTAGTGGGACAGCTTCCAAATCTCCCCATCCTGGTCCAGCAGGCTTTCCAGCTGCGGAGCTTGGACCCCACCCCTCTTGTCGGATCTGCCCTAGGCCCCGCCCTCTCCCGTTCCGGGCACGCGCAGCCGGTGGCTGTGGGCTGGTCCCGCCTGAGTAGGAAGTGCTGTGCGTCGCCTGAGCCCCACCCCCGACTGGGTAGGCTCAATAATTGCTCTGCGCACATGTCGCTCTGAATAAGGACGGCCTCTCATTGGGCTGACAAGGGGCCTTGAGGCGCGGCTCCGCCCAACGGCGGAGTAGGGGTGGGGATGAGTAGAGCCGCCGCGCTGGGGTGGTGGGCCTTGAGGTCTGAACGAGGGGCCGGGAGGTGTCGCCGCCGCTCCGGAAAGGGCAGGGAGTGAAACTATGTAGCGTTTTAAGTAAGTGTCCTCCTTTCTGTCTCCTCTTGAGCCTCCCTTCCCTCGGGACGGCTGCGCCTTGGGGCCCAGAGGCCGGGCGGGGCCGCGGAGCGGGAAGGGGGAGGGGCTCTTTTCTCTCTTCGGCCGGCGCCCCCGGCTGTGCTGGCGCTCCCCGGGCGGCCCCCAAGGCCCCGGCCCATCGCCGGGTGGACTGCCCCACCCTCGTTCTCCGGCTCCTGTCCGCATCTGGGCTCGCTCTGCCCCTCGTGTGTGTTTGCGGGGCAGGGGG